TAATAATATCTAAAAATATTAATAATTTTAAAAAATACTTAGACCTACTCCCAGAGCTACTCATAGGAGCTAAAAACTAATTTATTTTAGTTCTCAAATATGCATATTCTTTATGTTGATTTATTAATAAAATTTTTGCTACAAGGTATTTTACAACATTTGTTTATTTTTTTTTTCTTTAATTTTATAATTGAGGGCCATTTTTTATTTCTTGATTCAATTCTTGCTTATACAGTATTTAAATATTTGAAGATTAACATTGGGGCCATTTTTACCTACCTGTCATATGGGGCCATTTTTACCGGGGCCATTTTTTCTGGGGCCATTTTTTCCGGGGCCATTTTTTCTGGGGCCATTTTTTCCGGGGCCATTCTTACCTACATTCGGATGTGGGGACCATCAAAACGAAGGCATCCCACACTAGATATCTCAAAAACTGATCTGCTCTTCTGTATGAAACTTTCTAGAAGTGTTAACTAAGTTACAAGGAAGACTTTTTCTTAAAATTTGGTGAAGATCCAGATTCTGGTGTGAATTAGGGGTAGTGGTGTCATTTAAAATGCTAAAATCCCTGACATAAATATTTAAAAACTGATCACTAAATCTGAATATTTTTTTTAGAATTGGTTTGTCATGTTTTTAAAGCAAAAAATTATTACATTTTGGTGACGATCTGGAGTAAGTCTTGGATATGACGACATTTAAAGTGACACATCCCATACAAGAAATCTCAAAAACTGATCAACTGATCTACATCAAATTTTGTGTAAGAGTTAACCAATTTAAAAGGAACAACTAATGAAAGTTTAGTGACGATCCAGATATGGATTTGAATTTGGGAATCATTTAAAGTGCTAACGTCCCAGAACTAAATAGTTTTAAAACTGTTCAAATCCCTGTAGAGTTTCTGGTTCATTTTTAAAATATTGATAAGATGCGTGGGAATTTTATACAGTGGAAAATTATGATGTGAGGGAGGTGTACACTCTCGAAGTGTATTATTACTGATATTGGTTTTTTATGATTATCATCTCTTAATTGCCTACATTAATAATGATATTGTAATTTGGTTTTTATTATGATTATTTGTATGAATATATATTCCTGATTTGTAAATAGTGTTAGGCCTCTGTAACATGTGTTATTTGTCCTTGATTTTGAATCATCTTTTATGGCCAATGTTGTTGTAAAAGAATAGTGTTTTGACAAAATAAAATAATACATCGTGATGTCATTAATATCTACATTTTATAGCTGGTACAAGTACCAAGGAAGTAGCAAGACTTGCTTGTAGTGATTTGGCAAATCAGAACGTCCCGCGACAATCTCTTTACCACTGTATTGGAACCGACGGTCTTGATTTATCAGGATGGGCTTTTGCGACTGGAGACAGGTAAAAGTTTGCTACTGGTAAAACATTTTTTTGAATCCTAAATATTTTATTTTATCTCATGTTATATTATGTCTTAAAGTACAAAGGGATATTCGTAACTATGGTACAAGATATCAGATAAAATACTTTTTTTACAATTGGGTTGCTAGTGACTACATTGCAACAATAAATTAGACAAAGATTTTATTGGTGAAAAGCATGTTTTTTTATTCTGGAGTGTCCCGCGAGCACAGATAACGGGTCTTTTAATTTTTTTTAGATAAATGCAAATAGTCAATTGTTAGTATAAGACCAATAATTAAATATGCATATTGCTGTACTTAAATACTCTACTGGCATAGTTAAGATATTGATGACAAATAAAAATAATTCATTTTATGACTTGGACTGTAATAACATTTTTATAAAGAAAATATAAAATATCTGGTTAATTTATACGAGAGGTATTAGGCCCAATCAATAAATCAAATAATTTCATCATCATCTGCTACACTGTTTCAACTTGGGTAGACATGGCGTACTCCGATCGCTTCCATAACTCTCTTTTATCGGTTGTATGGTCATTAATTTTCAAAAATTTCATTATAATGTCATTAATTTAGAATCAGGGTTGTTGTTGAGGTTGAAAACGGTGGTTACGTAACTGTTGAAGACCGCGACACAAATTCGGCATCTAAGAGGTATTACACTGGACGTACACTTACGAGAACCGGAAATTACGTATTTGATTTCGATCGCCCTGTTCACTGCTCTATCGCAACGTCATGCACTCTTGAAATTTTTAATTGCGGAAATGATATTACAAAACAGGTAAAGACATTAAAATTGTTATTATTGATTGCAAAGAATATAGTGATAATGATGATATGATGATAATAATAGTGTTGATGCCAATTAAGGTAAGGATGATGATGATAAAGATTATGGTGGTGAAAATGATGATGATAATGATGGTGGTAATAATTTGTTTATTATTAGGATAATAATGCTTATATTATGATGATATTAATGACATAAATGACTGGTGAAGATGATGAATGCAATCATGAATAAGATGGTGATGATGATGATGATGATGATGATGATGATGATGATGATGATGATGATGATGATGATGAGGTTGATGATAGTGATAATGATTTGTTATGAGCATTACAATAATGTTGATGATATAATGATGTTGATAAACATTTGAGAAATCGGTATTAGTCGGTCAGTCGGCCGGCAATTTTATTCAAATTGTATACACTATTTTTTTCCCTATTTCTAATATTAGTATTTTTGGTTGAAAATGGTAACGACATTGGCAAAGAATCTATTTAAGCTATCATATTTATTATTCAAACTTGAAAAGCGACGTTTTGAAATAACATACATAGTATATTAGTTTCGTTCCTCGTAAAACATATATTTTGTTTAAAATACCGACTGTTATGGTGATGATGATAAAGACAATTTTAAGATGAATACAGTAATTACCGATATATTATTATTGCAGAATCAATTGCACAGCTTCATGGGAAATGAAGATGTCGATTTCATCCAGTGGATTGGACAAAATGCAAATTACAACAGCACTAAACAACATCAAAACCAATAGTAACAATTGCAATAACAATGGCAACAGCATTCTTACTAACACAATTAACAGTGTGTGTTTGCAAATTAGGTCTAACCTGTTTACTAATGTATTTTTGTTTTCTCTTTTTCAGTTCTGCAAAATAATATAAATTCATTGAGTTTTGTAATAATAACTAGAATTATTTAGCTATTTTGCCCTAATTTTTTTAATGACTGTTTGAAGGTTTGAATGGCATATAAACATCACTATAATTTTGCATAGACAATCATTTTGAAATGTGTGGAGAATAGATTGCTCCAATTGCCTTAAAAAAAGTAAAGTGCAAGTTGCAACGGAATTAGATTCAACTGTTCGAAATCTTCTTTCGTTACCACAAATGTATATGATTGAAATTACAATATCATGTTCCTTGGTTTACTCTTCGATAGTAAATGTGAATTGATGATCGTTTTAACCTTACCTGTAACCTTTAAGAAAATTTAAACAATAAATTACAATATGATTTGCAAATATATTTATCAAAAAGCTCATTGTTAGTTAGGATAGTTTAGCTTAGTTTGTGTGATTTTGTTTTACTTCATTTTTTTAATGTTTGACAATAAATGGTTATGAATATAATAATAATATTTATTTATATAGCATATTTTCAGATTTCTTGTTCAATGCGCTTTACATAAAAGTAACGGCTTAAAGCAATGCATAAACAGCAATGTGCTTTTTTTTTTTTCGGTTTTCAGGGAAACATTACTGTAAGCTGGTCTACTGGTACGTCTGGATGGACTGATCCTGATTCTGGTATCAATAGGTATAAGTATGAAATTAGAAAAATGTCTGTACAATCAGATGGTAAACTGGAGGAAGTATTGACTGGTGATCCAGTGGCAATTGGTGAAACCAATGGAGGCACTCAGCTGCTACCACATCCGGGTATTTATCTGATTTTCAAAATCATCATAGGTTTGCTTAAAGGAATACTGTCTTTTAACTGCTCCTCCACCCCATCATCATCATTACCACCATCACAAATAATTAAAAAAAAAATAAACAAATAAATAAATAAAGATTAACATATGGCAAAGTGTATATTATTTTTTATGTAGGTCTAATTATTTATCTTTATTGATAAATTTGTTTTGTTCATTAATGTAAGTATTATGTCTCTATAGGTTTGTATTCAGTAGTATTAGAAGTGTTTGATGTGGCTGGAAACGTGCAGCTTGCTCGGCGATTTATTCTTTTCGACGACATTAATAATGTCACCTTCAAATTAGACACTTCGCTCAAAGTGACGTCTGCTTCCCCGGATACTGGATTTGAATGGTTGACAGATCTGCATTCAAACGTGCAAGTGGATTGGACCAATCATTACATCAATGAGTTTCATGACGTCAATAAACTTCTGAATGAGATTGGAGATTATCACAGCACTGAACTAGCATCAGGTAACATTATTATTTGAGTTTTAGAATTATAAATTACAAATGCTGCTGATTAAGTACATTAGGCAACGAAGAATCAATCTTTTTGTTTTCAATTTTTGAAGATTATTGAATAATAATAATAATAATAATCATCTAATATATCGCAATATAAAGCAAACAGTAAGAGAGTCTCTATGAATTTTATCAATATATTTATATTCTTATGCAGCTTATGACCAGTGGAATGGTACTAGAGGGCGAAATGCCATACCGAATAAATTGGGTGTAGTGAAGTTCGAGGATACATATTCATTGGACCATAGTGGATGTGCGACATGCAGCCAAGGGATGTGGAATGATATTGGGTTATCCACATCTGAATCGTATAACATTCCACGAATTGACGGTGATTCGATCACATTTTGGGTACAAGGCACCGACGTCATGAATAACACACTAATTGACTCAGTCAAAGTTCATGTGGATTCTAGCGACGCCATCATTCAGGACCTGTGGCTTGTAAAAGATGGCGAAAGAAACATTGCTGTGCACAGTTCTGCAGATTTGCTTGAAATGGAGTAAGTTTGAAGATGTGCAGCAGAAATGGAATATTTTTCTTTCTTTTACTATACTATCTTTTGATCTTCACCATGCCATCAAAATTAAAAATTACTTTATGTAGAAGTGAAGTTTCTGTCCTATTGTTTCACAGAAAAACAAATTATAACAAAAATAAATTGTTCTATATTCGTCGAATGATGTCGTGTACCATAACATAGTGTTTCTAATATAATTATATAAATGTATTTATTTATTTAGCATGAAATTACATCATGAGCATAATTGATAACACCGACGAACTTGTTGCCTAATTTAGTAAACCTCATACTTCATGCTGTGTTTTGAATCGTTCTTTTTATATGACACAATTATTTTAAAAAATTTTTGGTTCAGGTTTGAATTTCAAACATTTGATGCACACAGCGGACTCAAGACAATTCACTGGGAACTGTATGATGTTCACGAGGAAACAAAAATAAGTCTGGGCTCAGATCACCTCAGTGCAGACCATGTCAGTGTAAGAAATGTAGACATTTATTTAAATCATTCTTTCAGACCTGATTGGTATTATAAAAATAGCGCATTTCAATAAAAAAAAAAAGCTACATAAGCCTTATATGCGCCATCCGTTTTCACTCGTATTACACAATATAGTGTTTGGGAGCGCATTTAATTAGGCGCCTCGTAGTTCCAAGTGTGCATGCCTATGCTAAAGGTCAATGCTTATACACTAACAATTTACATGACGTATATGATTTTTTTGCTTGTTGTATGGCTTTAGAAATTGACGGTCGTTGACGATCGATTACAGTGTTTGGTTAAGTTGGCCGAGGTCTATTGGTGCTTTTATAAGACAAGACTGTTTTTATAAGACAAGACAATACTGCCATGATTTGGAAAAAGGCATTAACTCCAAAATCCTAGTTTTGAGTTATTGAGCAAAACGCGTTTGTCGTTAGCCTTTTGTACTGGAAATGAATTCTAGTAAATTTTTTTTGGCAAATATACTAAACATATAATTAAAAAACATATTATTAGAGATAAATTAATCTCAGAGATGAAAAATGGAGAGTGATTTTCAAATAGGTGTAAGGACTTTTTTCTTTTGGTTTCATAATGAGAAATATGTATGATATATTATATCTGTCTCTTATACACATCTAGATGTGTATAAGAGACAGGTGTCAATTATATATTTCACGAAATTTAGTCCATGTGGTAGAAGATTTTTTAATATGCCATTTTTTGTTAAACCGAAGTAAAGCTAGGCATTATGTGCATTTACAAGCTATCATGACTAATTAACTATGCGTAATTGTCTTCTGTGATTGGTTCATTATGATCTGTTCATTGTTTGGTGGAGATAATGCCTTCTTCCAAATTATTCTGCATTCATGGATTGGAGTTAATGCGTAAATATAATATTTATTTCATATTTCTGGACATTTTTGGGGTATATGATCAATTCACATGATAGATTACATCTATAGGATGCCATAGAAACAAAAATCCAAAAATCTCAAAAAGTGGAGTTAATGCCTTTTTCCAAATTACGGCAGAATACAATATACTTTATTCGCAATTAAAAACAGTTGAATTGCACATACATAAGAAATTTAAAAATTGGCTTAAAAGTTAAAAATATCAAAACGGAGATGGTAAACAAAATTGCACAAAAAGCAAAAGAGAGAATATTATCATAATTATTATTTATAATTATTATCAAAGTAATAATAATAATAATAATAACATTATTATTATTATTATTATTATTATTATTATTATTATTATTATTATTATTATTATTATTATTATGTTAGTATTATCATTAGTATTATTATTATTATTATACTAGTTATTGTGAAAATTATGAGATTACAAAAAAAGAGTGAATCTTTTCGGCCACAGTTGGAGCAGTTCACCCGAATGTGCAGAAACCATCTACCATTTTCTGAAAAGACCAGCATTAATAATAACATTTTTGACCGTTCTGTCCGAAATTTAGGGAGATGGAATTGTGTGGACCTGAGGTTGTACTTATGAGTTGGGGCAGTTGGTAAAAGTGAGTGAAGTCTGTGTGATTGGTGTTTTATTTTCTGGAAGTATTGTCTGCATAGTCGGGTGCGCTGGTCTGCCAACTTTGGGATATCAACGAGGTCCAGTGCTCTATCATAGCTTATATCAGGGACAATGATTCGAAGCGTTCTGCGCTGGATCTGTTCAAGCTGATTGGATTGACAATTAGTAAGCCCTGTACCCCCACACTGGAGCAGCACATTCTAGAACTGGTCGAATAATACTAATACAATATATATATTACTGTAGTAAAGATTGTTAGTTTACAATGTTATGACTTCTGATATAACCACAGCTTGAACTATGACACGGTTTATTGTAGATGTGAGGACACTTCTTAGCATTAAATCACCACCTAGGCCTAAAGCTTAGGATATTTAACAGCAAAAGGATGGCTGTGCATTCAAAATAAATGTAAATTGAGCAACTTTGAAGTAGCATACAATACAAGTATTCTTGTGATTTGAAAATCTGTACCGGTATTACAGTGTACATGATGACCTGCTTTTGACACTAATTTAATGACTTAATTTCGCATACGTTCACCTTTTTAAATTTCCTTTAGGATGCCCTGTCTTGCCTTCCTCCAGACTGTATATGTATTCCAAAAGGAGACTGTTATGGAATCAACTACAGCTTCAAACCAGACATGAGTAGGATGAACATCAGTGACGTCAAACACGACCAAGAAATTTATGTCAAGATAACGGTGACAAACCAGGCAATGTTGATTGCAAACCTAACAAGAAAGGTATTGTTAATCATAGCACCTCCTCTGTGTATGCTCGTAGAATTATTAGTCGTCCGAACTAAAATTGTTGTATCAAATTGAGAGTCGTGTAGGTTACGGTGCTGTACACACGAACCTTCAATTCATTTTATACTGTTCAACATCACGACATGTCGATCACTTAGTAATTATTGTATTATGGTTTGCACGTTTTACTTGTTTGATTTACTTGCAGACATTTTTAATCC